AGTTGAAAGAGAGAACTTGCATATTTGATAGTTAGATGGATTTATATGAGCGGCTTAATATCACACCAGTTGGAATGGTAATACATATAAGTATGCCATAATTTAGGGCCTATTTTCTTTTGCTCACATGCAAAAAGCAGTTACTTAATGAAATAAAATATTATGGTTGCTTAGTTACTTCAAATGAATAAATAAACAGCCCAAAATATCGTATGTTTCAAATTTCAAACAACATTTTTGATATGGAAAGTTTTTTTTTAATTTCAACAGTAGTGACGATCGATTTATGAATGATAATATTTCATTCATTGGACTTTAGAATTCAAATACTTGAAAAAAAAGCAGCCAACATTTTAACTGAAGATGGTAACTAGGATTTGGCATAAAGTATTCAACATCATTTTACAGTCACTAGCACCATTTCATTGTAATTTTCAAAGAATCAATACTTATGTTTCCATTAAATTCATATTATCCAGGGTCCATCTAAAATAAGTAACTACTGGATTATTTGAGCCGTGGTTGACCCACTGAACGATAGATATTGTCTGAATCAATTGGTAATTTTTAATTAATGAGTTATTCACTAGTTCACAACGATATAAATCTCTTCCTTAAAACATATGACGTTAGTATTACTTTGTCAGTAGTTTGATGAGCTTTTAAGTAAATAAATGCACAAGCTCATATTTGTAATAATATGAGTTCTGTCTGTTATGTCCATCGATACTTATTCAATTTGTTTTTGCAATTTTGTCAATAGATGTAACTACTTCAAAATCATCTTAAAGTTTTTTCCCTTGACAATCTTTCAGTCTATAAGTTATGTTCACACTTCATCTGTGATTTTGAAAAATGGTTGATGATTTGGGTTTTGTTTTAAGCTGCCATTCGATAGGAAGATTTATATGAGATCCTGAAGAAACAGATACCCCAACTGCGACTTTGATTAACTGCATTGCGCGGTATAATTCGAGGTGTTATGATAGTTACTTGAGAACCAGGAAGATCAGTTTCTTGGAGCTTATAAGCTGCTGAACAATAGGCTAATTGTACAACTTAACTTTCTGAAAGAAAGAACTCATCGTAAAAGCTGGTGAATCCTTCTATCTTATAAGCATACTCAAATGTGATAAATAATATTGTATGATACTGCTAGTTGGACTTATGTAGACTTTTTGTGAAATCACTTTTGAAATGTGCATCTTGTCAATCATTTCATAGGATGAATAAATTCATATCAGTCGCTGTTTCGTTGATCAATAAAATTCTGAGAATTGAAATTATTTGCTTAGTGAATACTAAGCTAAACTCTGAATCCCAGTACAAAATTTGTCGATACATTCACGAAAATTACAATATACATAATCACCTTTAAGTCAGTCAATATTTTTTAAAAAGTACTGAAAAAAATTGTTTTCAATAACATTTCAAAACAGTTAAATCTATAAGGTGAGGCAATATTTACAGGCATTATCAGATATAGTTCAAGTTTAATACGTTACCATTACTACTGGAATCAAGGGGAATCGATGAATTTTTCACTTAAAAATTGAAAACGCTCAAAATCAATATGTCTGTCTAGTTCTTTTTTTTTAGAGAGAATTTTTTCTAAAGTATTCTATATGATACATTTTAAGTGGAATATGAGTATCTGTATTATCAAAGCTGATTATAATTTCTAGTGTCATTTTTCTTCTGAGAACGAAGTTACGTAGAGTATACTTTTATCATATACAAATGTATGTCTATGGCTTTTTTTTCAATCAAGAAATTACTTTTTTTTCTCTCATAAGTAATACAGTTTAAAGTAAATTTCTTAAAAGATACACAAATTCAATGTAGTCAACAAGGAATGAATGAATTACACATTGAAAATTATTCAAAGATAGGAAATAGAAGATAAAGAAATACAGTTATACTAGTAACAATCATGTAAAAAATGACAATGGCAAGTTGTTGTTTTTTTTTATGATTATTCGGAAAATAAAAAAAAAATCAAAACATAATTTCTTTTATTTATTGTGATATTTATTTTTTTTTTCGTTGAAATAATATTTATTTTGACTGGAAATAAAAAAAAAAGAGAGAAATTTAAATTGTGTGTGAAAATGATTGATACAAGATAATGTTGATACATACAGAGAACAACATCAAAAAAAAAACATTGAAATTATGACAAGTATACACAAGGGAAGGCGTGGATCGATAAATATATACAAACAAATAAATGTGTTGTGTATTTTCATGATAAACTAAAAAAAAAGAAAAAAAACAAGGTTTTCAGTTGTCAGTTGATTATTTAAAAGTTTTAACATACTAACGGATAGACAGATGGAGAAAAAAAATAATGATATTATACATAATAAATCATGTTTATTGTTTTTGGTGTCTGATAAAATCTTTGATAAAGCAATATTCATTAAAAATAGGTTTATTTTGAAAGCATAATTCTACATTGATTTACTTGAAAAATGATTGTATCAATAAGTATTTGAATAGAAATCAGTTAACATTAATTCATTTAGTTTGTAGTAATTCAATGTAATTCAATAGTTTAGTGTAATTTATCTGATAATCGACCATTATGTTAAGACATTGGTTGATATTTGGAAAAAGAAACATTCAATATGTTTTTTTTTTTGTATTTCATATGAAATGCCCATTCGAACTCAAGTTCTCTAAGTTTGTCTTAGTCTGATAGTATGCACAATTGAGAAAAACTTAAAACCAATGATGATGTATATTTCTAAACTGTGAAAAAGGAATTACACTCAATTTTTACTTGTTTGTCATATGATATTAAAATTGTATCTAACTTCATAAATACAGACGACTTATATCAATATCTTTAATGTATTCATAGCGGTAGTTTGATTATTCCCATTGATAAGACTGCAACTGTTTAGTCTCATTAGGCATTCTGTCACAAGCATTAAAACACAGAGATGGATGGTGGCTAGCTTTGGAAGCCAGGACGCTTGTTTCTTTCTGGGATGTGAGGGAATCCAAATGATGAGTCTTAAATAGAAGAAAACTTGGATCCTGGATCCCACTGCTAGCTACTAACCAACTCTACTTATAATATTTCCGATGGTTTGACCGAAACTTCGATCGTTTATTATTGAGTCAAACGGCGATGTAAATTCTAGTTGATTGTCTCATTCAGTGTACTTATAGGTGGCATAATAGGGCATAAGATTTATTAACTTCCTAATGTCATTTTACTACATATTGCATACTTTACATAGTGAATAGGTATCATTCTCATGAATCTGTAATTCTAAAGCAAATATTTGAATGGCATGATTTAATTATAAACTTTGTTATGATTTAATATATAATACAAATGAAGGATGGTAAATCTATGCATTTATTTTTGCTTTTCAATTCATAATGCTTCATCATTTATTTAGTTTGAAATTTCTATTCATCATATATCACGAAACCTAACTCCCTACCGATTCATTTAAAAACAATCATTTGGTTTAATATCTTATGAAAAAAAAATTCCTGAATGATAGTGAAATTTAAATTTTGAAAATATTTTAGTTACACACCCTAATATAGTGCGTTTTTTATTATTACTATTGTCGAAAAATCTCGAAACTATATTTTATTCTTTGAAGAGTGAATCTTTCTTATTTTTAATAAAATTAACGGAAATTCTATCTAATTTCATTCTGTTCCGAAATAATTATGTAAAACTATAAAAGGTTTGACAAACTAGGAACGTTTATAGCATTGCAAAATCTGTGTCACACTAATTAAACTATCTTTATAGCTTAGATAACCTCTGTATATAGTTTGAGAGTGTTCTTAAGCGTACCAATAAATATTAATGTTTATCAGAGACATCCTTTTGATTCATCCTTTTTGAAGTAAGTTTCCTCAAAATTTTATGTTAATTAGTCTCAGATATGGTTAACGGTAAGTTACGAAAACAAAATAAAACAATTATACTATACGTTACACTTGACAGGTCATCATGTTAACACAATTTTAGATTTTCAAGCAAATATAACAACCAGCTGTTATTAACTAGTAAATGTCCCAAACGTAGAAAGTCACTGAACAATCACTTTGCTGTCATTTAGGAATCCTTGACGTGGTTGGTTGCAAAAATCAAAATAATCTGCTTTGGTTCAAACTGAAATGAAACCAGCATCAATAACATGTGTTAATTGATCGAAATCTTTGTTGTATTCATAAATGTGTTAAAATGCTGTAAAAGTGATCGGTTCTTATTCTGGGATGAATAATAATATGATCTTAAAATATGGCAGCAATATTTGATCAATGAAACGTCTCTGAATTAGCTAATACTCAGGAACCCACTCTGTTTCTATGATTCAATTCTATCAATACATAGAGTAGGTAGTGCATCGATTTACACTCCAGATAATAAATGATGTCTGACTAAACGATAATCAGGTGATCAAACATTTTGGTGAATAAAACATGATCTTAGCCAATTTTGAGATGGTGGAGAAAACTTGTAGCTCAGGTGGATGATTTTGGTGGTGTTTCGTTCTCTGAGCTGGGTGTTTTGGTTGTGGAGCTTTCATTGTTCTTCTGAACAACATTATCAGCACAAACTTCAGATAGAAGTGAAGCATTCGAATTTCTCCACGTTTGACCTGTAGCTTGTTCTGCTAACCTCGATCTTGATTGATTGCTGTTGACCTTAAACCTGTCGTTATTTGCACATTTGTTTTGATTGTATCCCCTTTTTGATCTGTCCCCCATGATTTTTCTGATTGGTTGATAAACTGGATCAATGTCGATGTGTTTATTAATTGTTGATTGACCTGAGTGCCAGCTCAGAGAACGAAACACCAGCAAAACCTTAGCCATTTGTTTATACTTGAAACTAAATTGAAATATGTAGAACATTTTTGTTTTTCTTCATTATGGAAGTGTTTACAATCTAGAATTATCAATACATAACACATCTGAAGAACCTTATAATAAGGATTATTATTTTTTTCTTGTGACAGGCTGAACTCGGCGAAATACGTCGTGAACACATAAAACAATCTCACGAAATACAAACAACAGTGGATGTTGGTATTCAAACGTTGACATGTTCCCTTGAAGAAGAATTAATTCATCAAGGAAATTGCGCACATTTACCACAATCAAAAGAGATGATAGCAAATCTATGTAGTTCAAGTGTTCAAACCTATGATGAACATTTAAAAAGTACACGTGATTTTCAAGTTCAAACTGATTTTAATTTTAATTTACCTTCGATCAAAATTGATCAACACTACAATAACCGAAGTTTACAACTTTTAAATGTTAGTTTAATTAAACTTGTTCATGCATTACGTGTAGAATTAGATTCAGCTCAAGAAGAATTATATAAAAGAAATGAGAAACAAACTTAATATTTTTAAATAATGAAGATTATCATATATTTATTAACTTATTTAATTCAATAAATTAATTTATGAACTATGTTGAACGTGTTTTTACATTATTAGCAGAAGTATCTAAATCTAGACCCAACTGTCTATCAATAAAAAAACATGGATTTCTCAGTAGAACTATGAAAGTCTTTATTTGTACTACGTAATAACTGAAACTGAATCATTTGTGTATTGTGAGCAGCTGTTATGACTTAAGGATCACAAATAATGATATCTGAAGATTAGGTTGATACTGAACTACAAGGAACAGAATAGGTTAACTAAAGATTCTCCGATAGTCTCATTTTAGGTATGCAGCTGTTTATAAAAGCCTAATGATAAAAAATTGGTCAGAATTGAACATTTTTCAAATCTGCGTTTGAGTGAATGAATTAGCTAATACACGCAGTAAAAATAACCGTTGTTTATTACTAGGATGTAATGAATGAGTATTGAATAATGAAATCACTTTCTAATCACTCCTGTTCAGACAAGTCAGATGTTTGAAACTTTAACTTGGCGGGCAAACGACACAGAGAATACGCTTCCAATTTGTTTTAGAAATTATACATAAATTTTCTAAAAATGTTAAAATCAATGTAGACTTGATGTTGATTGTCCATAAGTTTGTAGGTTATCAATAGTATTAATGAAAGTCTACCGAATCAGTGAAATGATAATTGAAAACAGAATCACCGTGAAATTCTTAAATTTAACGATCTAGATAAATGTTGCTCGAGTTATTTTAGATTTTCATAACATTATTTATGTTACTTGTATCGGAAAATCTTACTAGAAAAAACTAAACAATTATATCTATGTGGATATATTTAGGCTTTACATTCATTAAAACAATTTTTATATCAGTCACAACAATGATCAAAATCACACCATTAATTTTATTTAATAAGTAAATGATAATATAAAAACGAAGCTAGTAATAATAATAATAGTGAGAATGACGATGATAAAAATCGATATGATAAGTTAGAAGGTGCATCAAAACACTAGAAATTAAACTGAAATAGAAAGATCTATTTCAACGAATAACAACCAGACTGAATTTATTTTAAATAACAGAAGAAAACTCAAACAACTGTGTGGTCAAACTTTCGAAACAACACCTAACGACAACAGAAGAACAACTTCTCCAAAAAGGATTAAACTATAACACAAAGGGCTCTCCGAAACTTGAATCCTTAGCCGTACTAGAATCATCACTAAAAACGGTCGGAATAAGTGATGAAACTCAACAAGAAATAAGACAAACCATAGTACCACTAACTTGATGGAAGAGAGAGACAACAACCAACTAACCACACAACAGCGAAAAGCCCTAAAAAAACTCAGAACCGGGGAAGATATAGTCATAGTTTCAGCGGATAAAGGACGCACCACAGTAATTATGGACAAGAAAGAATGTATCAAGAAAGCCGAGGAACTACTTGAGGACAGAAGAGTATATATACCAATCGACAGAAACCCAATAAAAACGTTGGACAACCAAATCTCAAGGACTCTGAACAAGCTTGTCAAATATCAAAACAAGATCAATGGAGAATGAAATCCATTGGATCATTAATTCCATGATTCTACGGTGGGTCAAAACTCCATAAACCCAACATTCCATTACACCCAATTGTATCCCTCCTTGGAATCCCAACTTACAACATATCACGAGAAATTTCAAGCATACTAAAACATCTAGTGGATGAATCGAACTACTCCATCAAGTATCCCTCACAATTGTTGAATAAACTCAAGAGGATTCAAATCGAAAACGACGGAACGACGATATCCTTACACGTAACAGCCTTATTCACCTCAATAGAGCCAAGCTTAGCCACAGAAACTCTTTCCGTGCTCCTCACCAACGACACAAGTCTCGGAAAATATACGAAACTTCAGAGCCTAAGTCTTCTAGAACTCATCGATCAATGCTTAAAAACGTATTTCCAATTCAACCACCAAATATACGAATAAACAGTGGAAACATCGACGGGATCAGCACTCATCGTGGAAGCTGTAATGCAGAGAATAGAGGCGTCGATTTTACCAGTGATCAAGCCGAAAATATGGGTTCGTTACGCAGACGACACATTCGTCATTATCAAAAGGAACGAGCTGGAGAACATCTACAATAGGATCAACAACGCCTTCGATGACATAAAATTCACCATGAAAAAGGAATCAAACAGCAGTCTATTATTCTTGGATATACTAATCACCAGAACTGACACAGAGGAAAACTGGAGACTCAAGTATTTCTGAAGTCAACCCACACAGACTTAATTCTTAATTAGAGTAGAAATAATCCAAGAACTCATAAAATCAACTGCGTACAAACGTTGTTCAAGAGAGCGAAGACACATTGCAGCACACCTGAAGCAAAAAGAAACGAAGAAAAATATCTAATGACTATGTTCCAATTGATTGGCTATCCATGCAACTTCATCAAAAAAAACATCAAATGAAATCACCAACAGAAGTGAAATCAAGTACAGGAACCAATAAACGGATCATCCTACCACACATAAAAGACATATCGGAACATACAGCACGACTACTGAAACCATTTGGAATAGGTGTGGCACACAAACCAACAGAATCACTTCAATCTATCCTATGCAAACCAAAGGACATAAAACCAAATATCATCACCAAAATAAATTGCTCAGACTGTGAAAAACTCTACATAAGACAAAGTGGACGGACTCTTTAGCTTTATTAACGTGAACACCGATTAGTAGTCAAACGCCACGACAATTCGTCGCTGATATTAATATGTACGAACAATTATGGACATACATTTGATTGGAACATTGTGGAAATATAAAACAGTTAGTCCCTTACATAAATTTTGTTAGACGTAATTGATCTGAAAAATGTGATGTGTTTGCACTATACATTTTAAACAATCTGGTCACACTCATACTTGTCAAGGCATTTTATATTTAATTTACGAACAGCCCCCACCCCTTATGTGTACAGAAACAATTTGTTATAACCTTGAATTCCCCCTGGTAATCTTTAATGTGACAATTTCCTACCCTTTCTTATTCTTTTCATACTACGTTGATCTTCTCTCCCCTTTATTTACAATTATCACCTATTTGAACATTTATTTAACTGACCTTTTATTAATCTTCATTTAAAATGCCTTGACAAGTAAATATGTATGACCAGATTGTTCGAAATGTATAGCGCAAATCACATTTTTCAGATCAATTACGTCTTTTCATTGTTCTATCAGAATGTGGAAATACTGGATAGGGGGAGTAAAGAGAACACTGGAGAATTTTTAGAAGCTTGGGACTCAGGTCAATCAGAAATCAACAAACATATCGACATTGACCTAATTTATCAACCAATCAGAAAATCATAAGCGATATAGGATCAAGAAACTGATCAAAAGGGGAATACATACAAAAAAAAAGATGCGAGCAACAACTGACTTAAAGTCAACAGCAGCCAATCAAGATCGAGGGTCAAACGTGGAGAAATTCGAATATTTTACTTCTGTCTGAAGAGTTGCTGATGTTTTTCAGAAGAACGATGAAAGCTTCACAATCAAAACATCCAACTCAGAGAACGAAGCACCACCACAACAATCATTTAAATTACCCACAACTAATGGATATTCGTTAGTGAGGTTACGGGGTAAAATGTGATGCAAAGGGTAAATAAAGCGAAGTATAAAATTTGTATCAAGGACGAGGAAAGCTTATTTCAATTTCTTTTGAATTACTTAATCTTCTATAAAAGTGAGGGGATTATTCTAATCCTAATGTGTAAATGAGGAATATATTGAGGTATAATGTGATATATTAGTCAGTACATAAATACGGAAGTTGGTCTTATGGTTTAAAAAGTACAGGACAGAAAGTCTAAATTATGCTGCTAGCAAATGGCAAACTGATTGTTGTACAATTTGAAGTAATCTCTGACAAAATACGAGGAAGACCATAAAAATTTCAAATTTCAAATTTATGGATGCGATATGCACGAAAGTTCGGTGGGAAGTGTAAAAAGAATACCCGGTGATTTAATGTGATCAATCTGCGGAAACAGATGTGCTGCAGAAGTCGATATTGACTCGCTATCAATGCGTTATATATTGCAAGATCATACAATTGAAGCAAAATAATTTTTCTTGCCTAAAAGAAGAAAGTTTTTGTCCAATTATACGCTACATGACCTCTACCGAAATTCGAGTGCAAATCATAAACTACTATTAAATGTTTAAGTAGGATGAAGTGAATATATGAAAATTTGATGTTTGTACGTGGTCTGGACCAAATTTGCAGTTTCATTGTAATTAGATGAAGAAAACTTCCAAATGTATCCAATAATTCGTATTTGCGTATCAGATACTCACCTTATATAAGAGTTTCTAAATGGTTTCAGGTAGCTAACATCACCCTATGTTACCAACGGAATTCAAGTATAGTTAGTTAGTTATTGAAGGGAAATAAAGATCTTACCAGGCAACTTACACAACGAATGAGTGAGCATCTCCCAGCATGGTTTACGAAGGGTCAGTCAAAAACAATACGCAGTTCTATCTTAGCACACCCGGTAGATAGTGGTCACATTGTAGATAAATCTACATCTTTTCGGGTGATCTATCGTATACCTCCATCATTTCCCGTCTCCTAGACATAGCAGAAGCCATAGGAATAAGTACATTCAACCATAATTTATGCTTGGAATTTCTCGTGATATGTTGTAAGTTGGGATTCCAAGGAGGGATACAATTGGGTGTAATGGAATGTTGGGTTTATGGAGTTTTGGCCCACCGTAGAATCGTGGAATTAACGATCCAGTGGATTTCATTCTCCATTGATCTTGTTTTGATATTTGACAAGCTTGTTCAGAGTCCTTGAGATTTGGTTGTCCAACGTTTTTATTGGGTTTCTGTCGATTGGTTTATATACTCTTCTGTCCTCAAGTAGTTCCTCGGCTTTCTTGATACATTC